TTTTGTGAAGACATGGACGAGAAAGATGGGGCCGCTTTATAACTCTCCAGAGCTTTGCGCAGTCTCAAACCTCCACCCAATCCAAACAGAATCTCATGATGGATCCAAGTGAAATTAGCGGTCGATTGAGAATCAGCGCCTACGCAATCGTGCCGCGATTAAAGGGATGTACTTACCACCCGTTACCCCGCTATCGGCGAGTGACCTCGAAAGAGCTCATTGTGACTAACAAGTGATTATCGATGTACAGCTCTCATCTCCCAATGATCAACCAGGTCAAATCAAGATAACAAACCTTGGCACTACATTCTCAATAGTTTGCAAGCCCCTTTCCCAACTCTTCGCGTTGGTTGTTGGCCACGAAGCACATGGGAAGCGCTCAAGCAGATGCATAACAGAATAATCTTGAGAAAATTTGAAGGGTTCTGCTTTCCAGAGCTGGCTGTGGTTTCTGTTCTGTTCTTGGCTCGATCCATTATGCGCGCGCCTACCCTTGGCTACAACTCGCATGTGACTTTACTTTGATAGGTCCTACCAATCACGTATGTTTAGGTTGTCAACTTGGTAATCGGACGTCCGAATTGAATTGCCCGGTATGCTAAAGCTAATGACGCTCTTACATGATCGCAAGGTTTCGGCCATGGCCTAGCCACATATTCGAGCCGAGACGTATATTTGAGGAGATATGAAGCACAGATTTGGGTTTATATTGGTTTCACAGAGTTCAGGCAGGCAAGATGACGGTATCTTTGATGCCGCAAAGTATCCCAGTACTTGACACGATGCTTCCCTCTTAGTATCTGAAGAGAAATGAGCCTTTCCCTGTACAAATCTCCTCATTAGCATGTTACTGTAGCATTCAAGTTGAACGTCTCTCTAGTCAATCAATACTCGAAAAGCTACCTTCTACCTCAACCCGGTAGGGGTGATCGACTCGCGCGTCCTTGATGGACTAGATCGCTACCGCCACAAAGGTGACCTTGTGTGTTGGAGCTGAGATCGGGTAGTATAGCTGAAGGTCAGCCGGACCAGAGCTCCCCATGGATGAGGCGGTACGTCCGGTGCGGTGGGGAAAGCTTTCCCCACCTAAATAGCAAATTCACCTCCGATAATTAACAGGATTCTGACGAAAATTACCACAATTACACTGGCCTTTCTGAGTTCTGTCCACAAGGTACCCGGATTCGGTGACGTGCATCTCTCTTTACGGGTGCAGTAGTGGCTATGGGCGCTTTGAGGACCGCAGGCTGCCTGTGGCTTCGCCAGGAGCAACCCGTTGCCATTCGCACCCGAAACTAGCTGGCAGATAATTCTGTCATTGATCCGGAGATAACACGTGGAAACGGCTGTAGAAGGCACATTAGACTTCCTTCGCTTTGGGGGGATCGTCAGCGGGACCGCTAGAACTTGTCTTCTCCACACAGCTCATCCTCCTCCCTTCACTACCGGACAGCAGGGAGGGCGGCGGCCCGGAGGACCTCATCCCGAATTTGGTTACTGGAAAATTATAGATATTAACTTTTCATTTCCCAACCAATCGGTTTGTACGGAAATTTGTTTCTGCTTGTCAACAAGTTGACATTCTATTACACACCCTCTCAAGCGGGAATAAGGGTGGCCCGGGTGTACCAATTTCGCTGCTTTCTGGAAGTACACGGGACCCCTCACGTAACGGGAATGTAGTGCCGCCTGTCTAGCCCTGTACTTCCCCCTGGTGGCGGGTACACTTTGGCTTGGCATTGGAATCGCTTAAATAGCAGGGAAAATGTCAAGTTCATACCTCAAGTTCCCTCTCTCGCTCTTCATATTCACCATGTTCCTCGCTTCGGCTGTCGCTCTTGTCGCTCTCTTGATGCCCAATGCTGCTTATGCAGCTGTCACCACCACTCTACCAAAGTCTGCGGTGAGTCCTTCCCCGTCCAAAACCGAATCAATAACTGACATCATGATAAAGGGATATACTGCACTCCCAACCGCCCGAGTCATTTCTGGATCTTTCGATGGAAAGATGGTCAAGTATGACCGAAAGGGAAGCGGTAAGTAGTTTGCCTTCATCGCTGAAATTTGCCGTCCTTACCATGAATGAATAGGTGGTGCTTGTGCCGGACAGGACGAAAAGGGAGAAGATGCCGCTGTCTTCATCTTGCAGGCCGGTGCCACCCTCTCCAACGTGATCATTGGAAAGGACCAGGCCGAAGGTGTGCACTGCCGTGGAGCATGCACTCTCAACAACGTTTGGTGGGAGGATGTCTGTGAAGGCAAGTAGTATCTTTATGACTTGGTACCCTCTTCTCACATTTCGTGACATAGATGCCGCTACTGTATGTCGCCTCGATCTCAGAAGGGCTTTAAAAACTCACCTAATCTCATTTCTATGACAATAGTTCAAGCAAACTGGTTCGGGTGATGTCTCCACGGTCAATGGAGGTGGTGCCTTCAGCGCATCAGACAAAATTTGTGAGTCCCTGCATTCCTCTCAACGTAGCCACGGCACCACTAATATATACCAAGTCCAACACAACGGAGCTGGAACCGTCAAGATTTCCAACTTCTTCGCCAACAGCTTCGGAAAACTCTATCGTTCATGCGGCAACTGCGACAAGAGCTACAAGCGCACCGTTGTTGTAGACAATGTATGTTCTCCTGGCTTCATTTTGGCTTGATTTACTGAGTTATTATCGAATATAGGTTTGCTTGAAAGGTGGAAAGGAGGGCGTTGGCATCAACAGCAACTTTGGTGACACCGCCACTCTCTCCAATATCAAGACCAACGGCAAGCCCAGCAGTAGTAACGTCTGCTGCACTTACAAGGGTGTATCTAAGGGTAGCGAGCCTAGCAAAATCGGATGGTCAGTGCCATTACTCTCTCATGGACGTTTCACTGAACGGCTTCTCTCAGTGGCTCGAGCTATAGCGCGTGCAAAATTTCCGGTTCTGTCGGAAGTTGCTAAGCTCACAAGCGGCTATGAGTTGGCTTTAGTGTTGTGAATTCATCACCCACCGCACTCCCCATTCTCTTTATACCA